ATGCGTCTCATCAAGTGGTCCACTTAGCGGTAGATTATTATTAGAGAATTTAAGAGATAAATTAAAAGAAAAAGAAGAAATTCAAATGTCAAGATATTTACTATTGAACATAAATAATATATTCTGTATAATCACATATCTTTTTTGTCAAACATGATCCTATTATAATACCCAAATAGATCACATGTATATGAAGGAATGGACTAACGGTTGGAGTTAATGAGTTTGTATTAAGTGACCTAGGCTCGGATTTCATTTGCAAACAGTTCTAGATCGAGCTTGTCACACATGGTTAGCATAGTATGATTTACATCTCTCATATGATTTGCAAACTATTATATACGATAGTGTAGATTGACCCAGTGCACCTATATGCTTGGTTGCATGTTCTAAAAAAAAGAAAAATATTTTCTAGAATTTCAATGCATATTTCTTTCACTTGTATTTTCTCTCCTTTTGTTTCATTTTTTAGGGTAAATTATACCTACACCCCTAAGGTATGCTAAAATAATTTTAAGGTTCCTGTGGTAACGGTAATTACAGTGGCCCCCCTAAAACATCATTAGAAACCCTAACTGAATAATTCATTGAATAAGTTATTTCGTTAGGGTTCTAACAGACTATTAATTTTAGGAAGTGGTGATAACAACATACAGCTAGGAATGACATGCCTCCCCCAACATTTCTTAATCCTTATTATTTTATATAACATTTATAAATTTTCGTCTATGGTAGCATTAATAACAGCCCCGCGGAAAACAAATATAGCCCATATCCGTTCCCAGGACATGAAATCTTGTCTCCGGTAATTGATTCAGGGGTGTGACTGTAATTACCAATATCACAGAGAGCTTACAGTTATTTTAGCATATCTCAGGGGTGTAGGTGTAATTTACCCAAAAAAAAAATTATTTTTTTATTTATAGGTGCTACTAAAAGGCTCCATCCTCACTTATCCAGCTGAAAGTGGTCTATCCAATGTATCTAATGATTACTGCAATTTTCCCACATGGATGGTTTCCTCTCTGTCCCTTTTGGGGACCCTTTTATTAGTTAGCTTTCACTCAAGAAATCCTATACTTCAACAATTGGGGTTTTTAGGGCATGTGATTAAGATTAATTTATTTAAGTTTGCATGTTTTAAGAATAATTTTGAGAATCATACAAAGATTTCTGATGCCAAAGTGCAAATCACAATCTTGGTCATCATCCCTCGTGCATGTCTAATTTATAGGACCACTCTTAAAGTTGAATACTTAATTTTTTTCCTTTCTCTTTCCATATATATGTTTAATTAATAAATGAACCGATCAATCTCAGAAGATTCGGTTTCGGTTTCGATTTCGTCACCTGACCAAATACGTTCTTTCAATTCTAGCATCTACGAACTTACTCTCACCTTTTTTTGCTATGGAACAAAACTTATAGTAAATTTACATTAAAAATAAAGTTTTAAATTAAGATTTTAAACTACGACACCCAATCATGAAAAACATGATCATTTTCCTATTAGTGTGATAGTGTCTACTAATTACTAAACAAAGAAAAGTAGTGAAGTTGTGAGCTGTTTACATAGCTCAATGTTGGACGCAAGGTTTAAGCCTTTTGGGCATACAACTTTTTTTGGGGGAAAGACCTTTATGTTGTGAGTTTCAACTCATGCCCACACGCGCACGCCGTCAGATTGTTTGATTTGGACTTGGGACCAAATCATTACATTTATTTTTCGGGCTAAATACATTAGGAAATGGACCAATAACCCATGCATCCTCCTACTCTAATTGGTTTGAATTGCTGCGGTCGAACCAGTGCAAATCGATCGGATCAACTCGAAATAGTGCAACCGATTCGGTCCAACGGCTCTATGGCCGAAACAGTGCAAATGGGGCGAACCGGTGGGTCTTGCACCTTTTTGCTCCAAGGACACTTTTCAAATCTTATAAATAGACCCCAGTTTTTCCATAATTTCTCACTTCAGTCCGAAATCCATTCCTCTTCTTCTGCAATTCTAGCCTATCTTTTCCAGATTCTCTCAAAAAGTTCCTCACAAAGTACAGTTCGTCGTACTTGGAATTTGGAGTGCTCCTATTCCAAGTTTTGCCTTAGTATCTTGGGAGACGATTTTCATTAAAGCCGCCAGCACCGTAGCAGGAAAATTTTGTATTATGGACAGAGACAACTCGCCTAGGCAAATTAAATAAAAAACATTTTTTCGACAACAACTTTATTACCCTTCTAATTATTTAATTAAATAAATATTTAACAAACTAATAACTAAATAAATATTTCGCAATTCCATCTCACCCGCCGCCGCACTCCACCCTCGCTGCCTCCCATGCAGCCGGCAATCTACCCATCCTCTTAATCACTACTTTCTATGTGTACTCACTTTCCCATCAACGTTTCTCCCCCCACCTCGAACACTAAAGCTTGCGGAAACAACGAAAATTGTGCTCAAATCCCACCTACAACTACTAGCACAAATACATACATTATGAGTTCGCCGGATGTAAGTTGTGTTATTCACAGAACTGAAGAAAAAAGAAGAGCGTGTACCTGAAAATTAGGGTTACCGAATTGAGTGCTGTCAAGAAATTCCCTTTATACCACTAATTTCGAAAATATGTATACATCGGAGGGTAAAACGGGATGAAAATGTTACTATGCAAGTGTTGTGTAGGAGTTTCACATCACACCTCAATCGGGGGCGTGGTGCGGAATAAAGATGGTGAGCTCGAGGGGAGGCTCAATGGTCCAAGCCTGTATTGGGGATAGCGAGTCTGTTGATATTCGGGAAACCCAAGAGCAAAACGCCAATTAGACTTGATCCAAATCGGAAAATATCATGCTAACTTGAATTTTGTGCTATTGTGTGGGCTCCGAACCCCTATTAAGAAATAATAAATAAATATGAAACCATATTACCTTTGTGAAATGAAACATATAAATAGTCCTATTTGTCCAAAATCAATTTTCAGTATGATATCAAAACCCCTTTTGCATTGATTTCAGCATAAAAACTGAAACAAACAAAACTTCATAGTATCTCCAGTTGTGCAATTACCAAACAAGAATATAAATAATTGATTATAGACTGTGGCCTCGATTGTTCGCCAAAATAAGATTAATCAAGATAAGATTAAATAATATAATGAAAACCCAATCGCACAAGGAAGACTAGACAACAATTTTGTATAACAAGAGAAACATCTACATCATTCTCCGATTTCGAGCATAGCTTATAGTTCGAACTCATCTTCAATCTTCACCCGCTCCGCTTGCAGCCTCTTCCTCTTCATCGTCAATAACGAAATACGGGTCGTGCGCCTCGGGCCTGAAATTATACCCCGTGAACACTAGGAAGCCAATGTAGCTAATTCCCCGGCTACAACGCTAGCCCACAAATACTTGTACGAACTAATCATTTCCAATGCATAAACCACAACCCTCGTAAAGTAAATACAGCATATCACCACAATGTAGTACTTCCTAAACAGACTCAGCTTCATCAAATTCTCCGCCGCTTTCCCATCGGTTTTCGCCGCGTCGCGCAGGTTCTTGATCGACCAGACGATAGGGAAGAGCACCGCACAGCAGCATACGACGTCGACTAGCAAGAAAACATGCTTCCACGCGACCCAATCTTGACCGAAGGGATTCGTTTCGTCGACTACGACCTGCGCGATATTCGCAACTACCTGAAGTGGAATCACGATCATCAAAACCCTTTTTTTCCTTGTCGTGCAAGTAAGGTTTCAAGAAGGACCATCCGGTACCGATCAAGACGATTAAGGTGAAGAGAGTGATTCCTTTTAAGAAGCTGAATATGTAGAATAGTACGTCGCAGCCGTGGGCGGATCCAGTGCGCTTGATGTACGATTTGTCCTCTGCCTCGCAGAGTAAATTAACCGCCTTTAGAAGGACGACACCCAGCATTCAGAAGTGGATCCCGAAAATGGTGAGCCTCTTCTCGTACAGGGCGGAGATCCAGACGGCGGCGATGGAGAAATAGACGACGGAGAGTAGGAAGTAAGCCCTAGGGAGGACCGTCTTGCCGGCGGAGAGATAGTCGCGGCGGTTGGACTTGCCGTCCTCCTCGAGGTTGTACATGGCGGAGCGGACGTGCATGGAGACCTTCATGAGCTGCGAGAGGCAGTTGGCGAAGACGAGGGTGTACTGATCGGCTTCGTACTTGGCGTAGGAGGAGTTGGAGTCGGCGGTGGTAACGGCGGGGAGGCGATCGAAGGTGAAGACCTTATGCACGACGTCGGATTCTAGGGCGCAGTTGATCTCGGCGTCCGCAATCTGCTGGAGCACGTGGAGCCACGCGTCTCGCGTGCAGGGGAAGAACCCTACCTTTGAGAGCGTCGCCACGTTGGGGGTGGTGGCCCCCCGACAGGGAGACGGGGGTGATTGTCGCCAAATTTCTTTACTACACTGTTATTTATTCTATTTCTGCTGAAAATTACCCTAGCCATATATAACATACATCCTTGAATAAAAAAAAAAAAAAAAAAAGGTTCAAACACATTACATTTTGGGCAAATTACGGCCACCCTGAGATAAACCCAAATTACGGAAAAACCCTCTCTCTCTTGCAGTAGGTAAATTTGACAAGGGTGGATGTGTAAGACAATACATAGTTGAGGAGGGAGGTTGTAATCAGCCAACCATGAAGTGAGTTTTCGTAATTTGAGCATATCTCAAGGAATGACCGTAATTTGCGCTCATATTTATATCTATGATCAGCAACACTTTATAAAATGCAAATTGAAGCTGGAAGACAACATACATAGTCCCATTCATAATGATCAACCAGAAAAGTTTTAATTACAAACTAAATCTTTATAGCCAAGAATTATATTTTCAAAAAGGCAGCTTCAAATCCTTATTCAGCTTTTACAAGTAAATGAACAATTATGTAGAATTGAACATAAAAAAAAAAAAAAAAGGCTCAAAATGAAATTATCCAGTGTTTCAAGAACGATATATATTCTTGAAAGAATATCGAGTAATTACCGGCCGACCGCCTCAAATTTGTACATTTATATGTATCTATATATATATATATGCAACCACCAAAAGAATTCAATTACAGTGTACAGGTTCAGTTTTCCATTAATTTCATCAGCTCATGGTTGCAATTTAGGACATAAACTGGAATTAGGATTCGCTACAGGGCCTGCAAAATATCACAAGATTAAAAAAACATATATATCAGCAAACAATTGAAAACTTTGCATACATATGGCAATGAAAATGAAGAGACATACAAAAAACAGGGAGACAAGGTTGTTTGGATGCAGGGTCATCCTCAAACCGCGCCGGAACTTGTCCGTACGCCATTTCACAAGTCATATCTTCAAAATC